CCAGAAGAAAAACCAATACTTCATTCACCCAGAGTCTAACTATGATGGAAGACCCCAAAATGGCAAAAATGTCTGGGTGTCCCAAAAAGAGCAATTTCAAATATTGGTGCTAGAAGACCTTCCTTGAGTCAAGGGACCACAAATCCTCTGTGCTCTGATTAATTAGCAAATTAAATGTAACTTTAAAAATCAAAATGAGAAGAGAAGCTGCGGCGGGTGGAGTCCATGGGCGCTCCCTGCACCGCCTGCCAGGGTCTGGGCAAACCTGAATTTGCCCGATGTAGTTTTTTCAGTAAGAAAAGCTTGAGCTGCCCGTGGTGGCGCACACCTTTAATCCCAGCGCTCGGGAGGCAGAGATAGGTGAATCTCTGTGAGTTAGAGGCTGGCCTGGTCTATAAAGTGAGTTTCAGGACAGCCAAGGCTACTCAGAGAGACCCTGTCTCGGAAAACAAACAAACAAAACAAAACACAAAAGGAAAAAGAAACAAAGGAAAGAAAAGTTCCAATTCCTAATTCCATGGATCTTCTGCCTGGGAGGCTGTGGCTGTGAAGCACAGTGCATGGCCCTGCCTATTGCTGTGGGTGGCAGCCTTGGTGAGACCGTGGCCTGGAGAGTGAGCTGGAATGTGACTAGGTGGGCAAGCTGTAGATTCACAGGGTTCGAATGCCAGAGACATGTGGCCTTTACCCTATAAGCAACTGGGGGGGTGTGTGGCTACTGAGAAATACACCAAGACAGTGACATGGGGAGACGGATGCTTCAGGAGGCCTGGGTCCCCTCGCCCAGCTCCCCCCCCCCCATCTGAAGAATTAGAAGGCTGTACCCAGGAGTCAGGGAAGTTGTCTTCAGCCTGGAGGGGCTGAGGCCAAAGCCTGGCCCAACTTCCCAACCCCTCCCTCTCCCTGCCCCACCCCCTTGATTTTTCTGTCTCACTGTGCCATGCTTTGGTTGGATGCCTCCCCCTTGGGGCGGGGCATCTACTGCACAAGGCTATGCCTGGGGAGCAGCTCCTTTTGATTTGATTTGGTTTTTCTTTCTTTGAAGTCTTCAAGGAGGAAAGCTAAGGGCTAGCCTGCCCCTAGCAACCTCATGGAGGGGAGATGAGGAGACTGGGAAGTAACTCCCTTGGGGTTACAGAGGGGGATAGGCTGCAGAAGGGGATGGGAGGAGGTTCTCTGCATGCCCCTTTAGAGGCTCTAGCTGGCTGTGTACATTAGGGGAGGCATCTCTGCCTCTTCCAAACTGTCTCCTGTCACTGCAGTATGATTTATGAGCTTTTCCTTCAAAACATGAGAACACTGGCTGTTGATGCTGCCCTGTAGTGGTCTAATAAATGACATCTTCTTGTTATGCACAGGATGCTAGGGGCAGAAGAGGGGGAATTCACAGTGGGCTGTGCTTTGTTTTGTTTTAACATGGAAAACACCAAGCTCTTAGTGGATCTCAGTCTATCATAGTATCCAAAGCTTTATTGTCACCTTCTGAGGGATGAGTTTAATTCTTAGTTCGGCTTTGCACTAGCATTTGGGACTATGACCTGATGGTTTCTTCTGAGCTACTACCCCCTCACCTACAGAGGTAAAGTTGGGGACATTAGTAGTACCCTCCTCCTAGGATGCCCCGTGGTTTACATGAGAAGTGCCTTGAAACACTAGCATCATCGAGATGGTTCTAACAGTGGAGGGTCTGAAAGTTGGAAGGAGGATATCTGAACAGGATGTCACAGCTGTGTATTGATACAGCAGCCGGGTCTTACAAGTGACAGCATTTCCATCCGTTTATACACATGGGCCTATGAAATCACATGCCTGTGCAGCTGGTGATAGTTCATGATGTGATCTTTGCCAAGCCTCCGAGCCTAGTTTGCACAAAGCCTTTGTTCTTCTTCTGTAGAAACTGATGAGCCAGAGTCACACTCTGTGCTTGTATGTAAAAACTGATAGTGAGCGAGAGCCATACCAAGTGTGTGTGGTGTATGTACATGTGTATATGTATGTATTTGTGTGTGCATGTGGTGTATGTGCGTATGCATATGTTTATGTACGTGGTGTGTATATGTGTGTGCATATATGTGTGTGTGAATGTATGTGTGACATGTATATACATGCTGTGTGTGTGAATGTGGTGTGTGTGTGTGTATAGGTATGTGTACATGTATGGCATGTGTTGGAATGTGACTTTTGTCTAAGTGTGCCTTGCTGAGGGTTTGGTAAGTAGTGTATGGTTAATGCTATGTATGTGGCATGTACTATGTTCTGTGCATGAACTTTGTGTTGACATGAGTGTGTGTTTGTGTGTCAAGTGAGGTGCTCACAGTTAGCTGCTTTGTGGGCTGGGCAGAGGAATGTGATAAGCATTAGTAGCAATTTGTTGGACAGGTACTGTGTTCTGATGGATCTATTTTGCTCTGGGAGAATCCACACTCAGAGCTTGGATTTCACATGTGGAGACGTCACATAGGGTTTGCATGAATGAAAACAGCCATCATCTGTCTGTGATGCCAGGAGTCCTACATTGTGCTGGGGTTGGTGGTGGACCCGTGGGGCCACCAGGTCTTGCTGGAAGGAGGCCCTCCTGCCAGGGCTGCAAAGCAGCAGTGTGGGGCTCCTGCTGTCTGCCCTCAGGATGAGCTCAAAAATCTCTGCTGTCCCACAGTTCTAGCTAACATTTAAAATGGATATATTTCTGTCATGTTTTAAATATTGGCATTTTAGAATAACATTGCACCATTTTCTTAAAAGTAAATTAAACTAAACTCAATAACACTCAATTTCAGTTGTCTTCTCCTGAAGTGTTACATAATCCAGAAAAATACACATCTAGGGTGCAATTCCATTCATCTGGCCCATGTTCTGCCCAGGCATGCCCAGAACCCCAGAAGGCAAACTTTTCTTCCTCGGAGTCAATATGCCCCTGAAGGTGACTACTTCTAATACTTGGTTAAAAAGCTCTTACAGGGGCTGGAGAGATGGCTCAGAGGTTAAGAGCACTGACTGCTCTCCCAGAGGTCCTGAGTTCAATTCCCAGCAACCACATGGTGACGCACAACCATCTGTAATGAGATCTGGTGTCTGCTTCTGACCTGCAGGGATACATGCAGACAGAACACTGCATACATAATAAATAAATCTTTTTAAAAAAGCTCTGATTCTTTTTTTTTTTTTTTTTTGGTTTTTCAAGACAGGGTTTCTCTGTGGCTTTGGAGGCTGTTCTGGAACTCACCCTGTAGACCAGGCTGGCTTCGAACTCACAGAGATCCACCTGCCTCTGCCTCCCAAGTGCTGGGATTAAAGGCGTGTGCCACCAACGCCCAGCTAACAGCTCTGATTCTTGAACATATTTTTGGGTGGACTGACTTCTTTTGGGTATTTGTCTGAGTGGAATTGCCAGGTCATAGGAAGAATTTTGCAATTCATCAGTATTCTCCACTGTCCATCCAAGAGAGAACCCAAAGGTATAAAACTTTTTACATAATTTCTTATCTTTTTGAATTCATATTTCCCTTCAATTTTCTCCACAACATTTTATCTTAATATAGATTTATGCTTAAAACTATAAATTGATTATTGTATTTCTTTTTAATATATACAATTAAAATAGACATTTTGATTTTAAAGTTACATTTAATTTGCTAATTAATCAGAGCACAGAGGGTTTGTGGTCCCTTGACTCAAGGAAGGGATTCTAGCACTAATATTTGAAATTGCTCTTTTTGGGACACCCAGACATTTTTGCTATTTTGGGGTCTTCCATCATAGTTAGACTCTGGGTGAATGAAGCATTGGTTTTTCTTCTGGAAAATAGGGAACAGAACCATTGTGAAGGGTGAGGTGGGAAGGGGGTGGCATTCCCAGGCACAGCTGGAGAGCATAGCTATGGGAATGAGGCCCTCATGTTGATTTTCCGTACACCTGTCTGCAAACCCATTGGGAAGTCCTGCTATGTCCCCGGTGGCTCTGTGCCGGTTTGCACACCTGCTCTTAGATGATGCTGATAGGAAAGGAACACTGGGCCATTCAAGGGTGGGCCTGAGTGATTCATGGGTTTGGAAGGGGAGGGAACCCATGCTAAAGAGGTGAATGTAACCCTTAGGCAGAGGGGAACCTGGAGTATTTTTGAGGTTGTCAGTGAAGAGCAAATGGGTCATCTTGAAGAGCTGGATCTATTGAGGACCCAGGAAGGGGTTGCTGCACCTGAACCTTGGCAGTGACAGTGTTAGGACTTGACAAAATGTTGGGCTGTCACCGTTAGGACACCAGGATGTGTTGAGGTTGTTAAGAGTTTTAAGGACTGAGGTGAGGTTTTTTGTTTTGTTTTGTTTTTTCCTTGACTCCCAGCTTTTGAACATTCTTCCTGGTTGCCCAGACCCAGCTCCATCAGTTGATGCTTGTCCAAGCGTGGACTAGATTCTTCTAGTGGTACTTGAGATGTTAGGAGCTTAGGGTAATTGAAAGCAGTATAGGCAGGACTCAGAGAGCACTGGAGCTCCAGATAACTTCTGATGCCCTCTGGGTCCTGCCTGCACTAATGAGAAAAATCTTACCCCTTCTCCCTGGGCCACTTCCATTTTGTTGACAAAGAATAAGCCTCTTGGGTAAGGCCTCTGGTCCTTTTGCAAGCCCTAGTCGTGGTGTGTAAATAGGACTTAAAAATGTTATTTTCACAGAACTCATTTCTGATATCTCAGGCTGTAAGGGCTCCCCCTTTTCTGGGGTGATGGATATATATAGCCTTTTAGTTTAAGCAAATTCATTCCTGCGAGAAAAGTTAATCAATTTGCTAATCATGGGGAGTAACAATGTAGCCAGTGGCCTGTACATCAGTTAGAAACCTTGATGGCAACATGGACTAACTGAAGTCACGGAAACAGTAGGTTAGACTGAAAGGGGCCCTTGCCAAATCTCTGCATAGCAAAGCCAGGGCTCTGTCTGGGTTCTGGAGTATGGGTCCACTGCTGTCTCCAGCCACAGCCTGATGCTCAGCTCCTTGCCTCCTGCAGAGATCCGCATGCAGCTGGTGGAGCAGTTCAAATGCCTGGAGCAGCAGTCAGAGTCGCGGCTGCAGCTGCTGCAAGACCTGCAGGAGTTCTTCCGCAGGAAAGCTGAGATCGAGTTGGAGTATTCCCGCAGCCTGGAGAAGCTGGCCGAGCGCTTCTCCTCCAAGATCCGCAGCTCCCGGGAACACCAGTTCAAGTGAGAAGTTGGCTGTGGGTCCTGGGATGGGAGGTGGTGCTGGGCAGGAGGGCTGTTGGCAGAGGCCATGAACAAAGGAGGCCAAGAGTGGATGAGGAGCCAGGACTGGACCTTGACCTGGAAGGTCCTGCAAGGTCCTGCAAGGTGGGGTACTGCAGCTTCCAGGAGCTAATTGTTCTCACGCACCAAGTGAAGATGGAAATGACTTCCATGCTGTAGGGAGTAGATGGGTGGCATGGAGCTGCCTTCATTTACGCACAGCTGAGACTTGTATCTCATTTCAGCACGTTCTGACTTTAACTGGTTGGGTTTTAATTGGGTACCAGCTCAGCTTCTATTTCCTTAGAATGTCGTCGAATAGACTGGGTCCACAGAGCATCCCTCTTCCTTGCTGCTCCGGACCTCAGTAGCCAAACACTTTCCTACCTTCTTAATTATGACACACAGACCCTCCGATATCCTAACTGCTCACACCCCAAGCTAACTGACCAGGCAGGTTCTGAAGGCCTCCAGTTACCCTAAATTGCTGCTGGAGCTACCCACAGCGGGGGTGCACAGCTGGGGTCTCATCACCTGCCCCTCCTTCCTCTTGATTTGAAACCAGCTCCCCTCATATCCTAAGTGAGAGCATGGAGGGGTGGGGGAGGACAGGCCTTGAGGACACAGGGGTCCCTTATTCCCTCACCTTGTCTGTAATGAGCCTCACTAGCCCCTCATGGGTTCATTAACTCATCCACCAGACGGATGGGAGCCCCAGCTGTCAGTCGGACCAAGTGGGCTTCTTGTCTCACTATGAAAGTCTAATTAGGGGGTCACCCAGGCCAGTGCAGCTGGGGTAGACCCTCTGCATGATGCTAATGTGATGGTCCAGCCTGATGGCTTTTGGAAGTTGAGTTTTCCAGGAAGGCTAATTCACCTTTGACTCCAGGATGTCCAGTGACCTGGCTGCCGCTTCCGATTACAGGGTCTGTGCTGTGCTCTGGTCCGTTAGCCTAGACGTCCCGAGAAGCCAGGCTGTCTCATAGATTCTTCACTTCAGGGTGCCCAAAGTGCCAGGTTGCTTCTCGGGACTGGAGGAGAGGCCTAGGGCTTGTTTTATCGTCACTGCAGTGAGCCAGCTGAGGAAGGGAAGAGGGGGAGGGAAAGGAAAGAACAGGGAAGGAGCTCCTGGGAGGAGGGAACTTATTAATTCTTGGTTCGCACAGTTTACTTGAGTTGAGAGACTTGGCTCAGAGAGAGAATTGATTTTCTGAAGATGCCGCAGCAAGTGGGGAACAGAATTGGGACAGAAACCCAGGTCCTTCTGCTCTAGGTCAGGGTGTTTTCTTTTGTCCTGTGGGTACTTCTCCCTAAGGCCCAAGTTTTTCCCAATCTGCCTGGGCTCTGGGGATGTTTACAGTTGTGGAAGGTGCTAAATTTAGGGCCAGACCTAGCTGGGTCCAGTTCCATGTGGCACATGTTTTAAAGAAAAGCCTAGGGGCTATCATGGCAGCTCAACAGCTTAAGGGTCTGGCAACTTGTGTTCCATCCCCAGAACCCATATGGCAGAAAGAGAGAACTGATTTCTTGTCCCCTATGTCCACAGGCTTGCTGCTGGTTCCTGGGTTCCCCTGGGGGAGTTTGGACATTGTAGAGAAGGAGGGGGATCCAGATTGTCATTGTTCACTGACTCAGGATGGGGAGGGTTTATGATGGGAATGAGGCAGAGCCAGCATCCTGGACTGAGGCTTTGTCTGTCCTCTGTGGATGAGCACTGGGTTTCAAAGTCTGAAAGAGAAGATGGCCAGTGAACAAGGGTTTCTAAAACCTAGTAAAAGGATTGATCCGTGGTTGGTACAAATGTTTCTTGAGTAAATATTCACTGGTAATTAGAGTTGCTCTAGTGGGCAGTTTGTATTTTGACTTCATTACATTGGTGAAAACCATTTGAGCAAAGTGCTTCCCACCTGGCATTTGGTGCTACATTGCTGTGAGGACAGAGTGACCTTGACAGTAGCCTTCTGGTTGGAGAGTGGAGGTTGGTCAAGTAGAGGCTTTTCCAAAATGCAGAGTCCCCAGTCTCCGGCATCAGAAGCTCTGGGGCATCAGTAAGCCTTTCTGGGAGTTCTGGTGACCAATCACTTAGGTGGTTTTCTAGATGGCAAATTGTTTCAGTCTTTTTTGTGGGCTATGCTGAGCTGCCTTCCTTGTCACCAGCATAATAGTCACATTCTTGCCCTTTGGGAAGCAGGCCTAGAGGAGCCTCACATTTCCTTCTGATGGTCTGGAACCAGAGGTACCCTGGGCAGGAAGATGCCATGAAGGTCAGCACATAGGTGCCCTGCCCTGCTTCTCAGGAGGATGGGTGGTCTGGTCCAAACAAGCTGGCTAGGTCTGCAGAGGCAGAGGTTTCCTGTGACCAAGGCTCTTCCCAAGAGCTGTATATTCTAAAACACCAATACTTTGGGACACTTGGTGGGGGAAGAAAAACAAAAATGAAAAAATAAAATGAATTCTATATTTGGAAATCACTGACTATTCTGGAACTCACTGTGTAGACCAGACTGGCCTTGAACTCACAGAGATCTACCCATCTCTGCCTCTTGAGTGCTGGGACTAAAGGTGCGCATTGCTGTGCCGAGCCCATTGACTACTCTTAATGAGTCCCTAAGATGTTCCCAGCACAGCGTGTGCAAGGCTCTGAGAGGTTTGTACTAAGCCTGCTGTCTTCTTTCTGAAAGCTATATATGACCATAGAACTTCCCCTCCCCAGGATAAATAGTTATACTTTACAAACTAGTGCTCCCTGGGGCCCCATTTGCAAAACTCTGTTCTACACAAACCCCATAGTGTAGTGACGTTCCACTCAAATAGTGCTCTGTATTTGGGGTGACAGGGCCCCTTTATTCTGATTCCTTTGGTTGTTGGTAGTTCTTACCTTTCAGGGGACTATGCCTCATGACAATTCCCTGTCCAGGGTTAAGTGATGCTGACTGCTCTGTGGCCCACAAAGTTTTGTTCAAACACATTAGAAATATTTGGGGGGAAAGTCAGAGTTTGGGAAGAGCTGGGTGGTGCTTGGCTATGCAGATATTCAGTGCCAGCACAGTTGGGAGTTGTCTTCCAGCTTCACAGAGCAGTTAGAGGGAGGATCCCAACTGGCTTCATTTCCATGAAAACACTTTTCCTGGGGAAGAAGTGCCACAGTTTTCACAGCTGCAGTGTGTCTTAAAATGATAGTAGAATTGAGATTTAGCCTTCCAGGCTATTGCTTGTCAGAAAAGCATTTTTGCAATGTGTAATTTAAAGTTGGTGTGCCGAGGACCTGGGGTGGAGAGGTCTGGGCAGGAGAGGTAGGGATGCAGGAAGCCTTCTTCATGTGGGGCTTGTGTCTCTACTGATAGTTATAATTGCTCCCATGGCCCGAATCACACCAATAAGTTGTTGCATTTTCTAGGTTCCCTCACAGCCTCTGTCTGTTTCCTTGCCTCTCTGCATAGGTTAATGCTTGCTGAGAGTCATCATCTAACCAGACCTGTGTGAGCATCAGGGATCTGGGAAAGGCTCTTATGAAAAGCCTCTGTTATGGCTTGGCTAGTCTCGGGTCTCACAAAGTTCAGGTCAGATTAGCAAGGAACCAAACAGTTTGTAGATCTGGCATGCCACCTTCATCCTGCTAAGCATTTGAAAGCAAAGGGGGCATTTCTAATCTCTCTGTCTCTGTCTCTTTGTCTATCTCTGCCCCTTTGTCTATTTCTCTGTTATAGAACAATATAGAACTGATCAGTGCTCCTCAGAATAAAGGAAAGCTCACTGGTGCTCCCTGAGTCATAACTGTCCAATTCTCATTCAGCCTTGAGGAGAAAGCCTCCTTGATGTTACTGTGTTGATAACGCCTCTCTAATCTTTCAGCAATCTTCAGGCTTCAGCACCTGCCTGAGAATGCATTACACTGTTTGTTTCCTTTAAAGTTACTTTCTCAGGTACCTTCTATTTATGGCAAGCATCTTAAAAAAGAAATCTATGACTAGGGAAAATTCTTTGTAAATGTCTTTAGAAAAAGACAACAATAGTGGAGAAATGGCTCCATAGGTAAGAACATTCTGTATCTGAGCGTGGAGAGCCGAGTTCAAATTCACAAAACCCACATAACGACCAGGTGTGCTTACACATGCCTAGGGCAGCACTTCAGAGAGGGAGGAATCAGGAGGACTACCCAGGCTGGGTGCCAACCTGTCTCTAAGTTCAGCGGGAGGCCTTGCTCCAAGGGGATGAAATGTAGAGGGGTAGGGTAGGATACCTGTGTCCTCTGTGTGCACACCACACGCACACTCACTCACGCAGGCACACACTTAAAATGAAAGGGAGATACTGAGCCTGGGTTTTGGAATGTGATAATCCTGGTGTTAGCAAAAAGCTCACACTGGGGGCCATTTCTAGTCCCTTGTAGAAAAATTATCACCTTCCCTCACCTCTAACTTCATCCCGCAGCTTCTATCAGCTCAAATGTAGAAACAGAATGCCCACCCTCCCTCACCTCCAACATCACTCTTCCCGCTTCTGTCATTTCCACCTTCTATCCTGCCCCTTCTGTCATCTCCACTACGTGTCACCGCCCCCTTCCGTCTTCACCTTCGTCCTCTCTTTTTGCCATCTCCACCTTCTTCCACCCTTCGCCATCTCCACTCTCTGTATTCTACCTTTAAAATCCATCTTCTGTCATTTACATCATCCGTCCTCCACATCCGTCAGCTCCAGATGTCATCACCTGTATCTCGAGCATCTGTTTTCCACTTGATACCTTCAGTCACTTCTAATTCCTACCTCCCGCCTCCCATCCTCCACCTCCCGCCATCCTCTGCCTCCCACCTTTCACCATCTCCCACCTCCCGTATTCTCCCTTTCATTAGCACCAGTTTCCCTGGCCGGGTCCGTGGCAGGGCTCTTGAAGCTCACCTTGCAATGTGCTCTTCATGATGGCTGCAGCCTCTTCTCCTCTTCTTAGTTTTCCTTCTGGTTTT